ACACACACACACACACACACATATTATATATAATATATATATATAATATATTATATATAATATGTATGTGTGTGTGTGTGTGTGTGTGTGTATGTATGTATGTATGTATATTTTATGACCTTTTTTGCCACATTTGTTAAGTGAATCCCTACAGTTGATAAGTTAATCTGAAGTGGTAGAGTTTCCTGCCTAAGCAGAGGGTTGGACTAGAAGTAGAATTTCCTGCCTAAGCAGAGGGTTGGACTAGAAATCCTCCAAGATCCTTTCCAACTCTGTTATTCTATTCTATTCTAGTAATCCAGTTGTTAAGTGAGTATGATTTCCACATTGACTTTACTTGTAAGAAGGTCGCAAAGGTAATCACTTGACCTTGGAACACAGCAACGGTCATAAATATGAACAAGTAGCTAAGCATATAAGTTTTGATCACATGATCATGGGAAGCTGTGAAGGTCATAACTGTGAAAAACAGTCATAAGTCATCTTTTTCAGTGCTGTTTTAACTTTGAACAGTCACTAAATGAACTGTTGTAAGTCAAGGACTACCTGCATATAAAATTATATTTGTGTCTAAATATACATGGGTGGTACTCTGTCCACCACCAATATTTAAATTAATTTTCAGAACAAAAGAGCACAAAGAAAACAAATTTTGAATTCTTTAATTTTAGAGGAAATTACCAATTATAAGATTGTCTTGCCCCATAAAGAAAGCAGAGACATTCTATGGTGCTTTTATGCCATTTATAGTGAAATAAGCAACTTAGAACCATCTGCTGAAAGGAATAGAAAACAACAAATTGTCGTGAGCATGAAAAGCTTATGTTGGATTTCTGAGCTGTACCTTTTTTATTAGCCTGCCCCTGGAGATTAACTACATTCTTCCCTACTCATGCTTTTTTTCTGAGAGGCAAATTGTTTTAAAATTTTTGTCCTAGCTATTTATAGTTATAATGCAGGGCTATCAAACACACGGCTCATGGACCAGATGCGTCACATGCTGGCCACGCCCATTTTAATGAAGGGGGGAAAGGCCTAATATGTCACGTTCCGATGCCATAATGCCATGAGTTTGACACCCTGCTATAGTGGTTCTTCACATTTTGTTGATCTGAACCTAAAACGCCATGGGTCCATTTAAATCCACAAAACCCAAAATGGCAAGGGTTGGGGAGAAGAGAGAGAGAGAGAGAGAGGAGAGAGAAAGAGAGAGAGGCGAGATGAGGGGTTAAATGGAGAAGTGGAAAAGCTGAGTCAGAGACTGAGGTGAGCAATGAAAGAATGGATAAAAGAACATGCATATGCCCCCATTTCCATCAACAAAGATTCTTGTATTGAAAAGACCAGAGGTACTGCTGGAAGCTATAATATAGCATCACAGTCGGTCTGATGGACAAGATGAGTTAGAAGATCAATTGTTGCATCCAAAGTCAAAGTTTGGAGAGGTAGTTAGGGCTATGCCACAAAACATTGTTGGGGAGCAGAGGAGATGAAGGTACAGAAATAAACTGGCTGGAGCAATTGCTATTCTAATTGGCATATGAAAAAGAGTGAGAAAGAGGAGAGGAAGAGCAAGAAAAAGAGTTTGGAGAAGAAAACAACTAAAATTAGAATGAGAGGAAGAGAATATATTGTCTTCTATAATACATATTATAAATCAGCTAGAGGCCCATTGAATCAAAGCAGTGTATACATTCTATACTATAAATAAATACATTTATTTTTTTTCTTCCAAATGGAATAAGCTCCTAAATATAGATGAAACAATATCTTCTACCGTTGATTTTTTTCCTGGTTTTTCCCCCCAGCTTAATCGTAGTGATAGTGATAGTTCAACACTATCTAAGAAACCACCTTTTGTTCGGAATGCTGTTGAGAGACGAAGTGTCAGAATGAAACGGGTAAATAATATTTTATATATATTGTCCAGTTTTTTATTTTAACTTTTCCTTATATTTGTTTTTAATTAGGAGATCAGTTAGTTGCTTGGTTAATAAGGTTAATGAACATTTTTTTAATGTATGGAGAACTTCAGGCAGCATAAAGTACAACAGTGCTTAAACTAAGTAAAATTTCAATATTATAAATTATAGTAAATATTGTTACTTATTTAAAGCAGTATAAATTAAAAGTAATGACAAATGCTTGTGATGTAAAAATAAGGTCGCTTTTAAAATTTTCACAACATAGAAAGATGATATAAAAAGGATAATGTTTCCTTTGAATTAAGTTAGACTCTTGGTGATTTTATGGATGTACATATACACCTAGGAATGTTTAGCAACAGTCTGGAAGGGATTTGCAATGACTTTCTTTTCCAGGATATTATTAATCATATTGTTTCATACCTTGCTATTTCAACCATATTTCCTGGTAGGATCCTATCTGGCCTGATCTCCTTAACTTTTTGAGATCAGATAAAGTATAGACACCGATTTGGAGTTTTAGTATATTAAAATTATATTGTTGGGGTTTTTTTTTCCAGTCTTCTGTTAAAACTCTTGGACCTGAGCGTTTGATCCGTACTTCTCTCGACCTGGAATTAGATCTGCAGGCATCAAAGACCTGGCATAGTCAGTTGCTGCAAGAGATTTCTGTCCTCAAACAGCTAAAGGAACAGTTGGAGCAAGCTCAAAGTCAAGGAGAAAAAGAGTTACCCAGATGCATAGATGAGAATGACCAATTCAGGATGTTAATGAGACTGGTAGAGAAAAAGGCAAGTATTCTTAAGGCTAAAAATTGGTTTTCACTTTCCATTTCTCCAAATGACAGTACGATCCAATAGTGATTTAAAACAAACACATCTTATTGGTTGTGAAGGGCCAACTTTATTTTAATGGGAGTTAAAATATGTTTAGTTGCATTCTGACTTCTATGCAAGGCAGCATGTCCCACAGTAATGCCATATTTCCTTCGAAACTGAATGATCTCAAATCATGGCATTTATAGGGCAAATGTGAAGTGACTAAGTTGGGAGGAGGGGTTTAAAAAGCTCATGCTCCACACACAAATTTGGAATGTGCATTCTATAGCCACCTGGGAATCCCCTGAATGCCAAATCACTGACATGACAATTTCAGGCAAGTGGCATAAGACATGGGGTGTATGACTTTTTTCTTCCCCGAAGGGAAGGAAGGCAGGAGGAAAATTTCAATAATGCAGTTACATTTTAATATCATCTCTCTAGTCTCTGGAAATAAGTCTCTCCCACCAAAAGTACAGCTGTCAGGGACCTAAACCTGCCCCTCTTTTGTATTCAGTACTTTGAAATTAATCTTGTTTTCTTAATAAAATTCAAATGTATAATAAATGCTGCCTTGATATATTGCCCAAAACATGATTTAGGTACAGGTAAATTTAAATGTTTTTTTTTAAATAATGTGACGTATTATTGCTAGTTTACAGTTATTTGTACATAATCTGGACTCTTGATATAATCCACCTTGACTTGTGTGCCACAGTCCAAATCTCTATGGTGATTGTCATCATGTGTTTTATAGTTGAATTACATAAATTATGCAAATTATATTGTTACATCAGTTAGTCATTTATTCAAATGATACAAATTGATGCAAATGAAGTAATTTGTGCCATTTGCATCACATAAATTATGTAAATTGTCATGATAATATATTTTAGTAGATATTTGTGAATTACGGTATGTCACTTGCTCCAATGAATCTGTTAAAACAAGGTTTCATTGTATATAATACCCTGTTGCAATATAAATGTATATTCCAATGTTCATAGGATTACTCTATAACATATATAGTATATAATACATATATTACACACAGTAATATATATGTACGTTCAGTTTTCAGCAGGACTGTGAAACAATCTATGATATGACTCTAGTTAAAATACATCTGTCATCAATTCTTGTTCTTTGAAAAAATGACTATCTTTGCAAGTGTTAAATGACAGATTATTAATTCATAAGATTCTATTGACCTCTATTCCAGTTCTAATTTTTATATTCAACATTTTCCACCCCTTTTTATCTTTTAATTGGGCAAAATTAATCCATTGAGATTTGATAATATTACAATTCTCAGGAAATACACTAATTTGTTTCTTTTTCTCCCCCCTCTCACGCCCCAATTGGTACAAGCAACAGCAGCAATTAAGCAATTAAACACACATTCAGTCTTTGTATTATTTCTAAATAAATATGTTTTCCCTCTCTGTTACATTTCAAACATAGAAATGAACTACTTTTAATCTGATGTGTCAGATTAGGGAAGAATTTGTTTTACTCCTATGTAAATAAATGGTTCCATTCTCATCTTTCAGACCGTAAAGGCTGGATGTAAGTATGAACGGAAGGCCGATAAAATGATGAGGGCAGCTGCTAAAGATGTGCATAGATTACGAGGGCAGACCCAAAAAGAACCTCTAGAGGTGCAATCATTCAGGTAGGAAAAATACATAGTTTTTTCTTTGCATATTTTTTCTTTTGTGCATCCTTTCGAAATATTTTCTGCTTTATCTAGATTCACTCATTAATTCATTATAATTAATATTTGAAACAAGGTAATCATATTTGCATCAGTTTCATCTTCTGATGAATTGTGTTTGGCATTTTATAGCAAGCATATCCTTTTCTGGCAGTGGCATGGCAATGTTTCAACAGTTAAATTGCTTTCATTGAAATAACTTACTGCAAATGCTTCACTATGTAAATGAAAATGATCAGGCTTTGCTAAAATACTTATTTATTGTTCTGGTTAACAATTAGATTTTTGGTACTGAAATTGTTGTATTTCACTTTTTAAATTATTGCCTCCAAAGGACCAAAACAATAAATATCGTAACTTGCTATGTAAAAAAATAGAATTTTGATGCTCCTTTAAGATTTAATAGCATTTAACTTTCGTGGCAGTAGTCATTTCAATCATGTTATTTGAATAAGAGGAGTTGTAAACAATGAGGTCAGGTGAAAATGACATACAATAAAATATATTGATAACTTATGATACCATGTGTTTACTAATTATGGTAATTATGATGACATAATGGTCTGTAAACCTTATACTGTAGCACATCTATTACTATCAAGATTACACGAGTTTCTTTTTTTAGTCAGAGTGGTTTTAAAGTCAGTGATATGAAATTGTACATTGTTAAAGATATATTTTTATTTTCAGATTTTGATTGTTGAAACGTTAATTCTTAATTATAATAATGACTGATGTTTTTGTTATTTGTAGAGAGAAGATGGCGTTTTTCACACGACCTAGGATAAATATCCCAGCTCTCTCAGCAGATGATGTTTAATGTCTATTTAAGTATTTTGTTCTTAAAACCTCTTCCGAAAAGTATATGTCATTCACTGAAGTTTATTTATATCATGTTAGTACATTGATAGCTTTATCAGTTCTAGGGCCAGATTTTTAACTTTCTTTTTTCATTGCAAATGCCAGCATTAAAATTACACTATCATATAGTTTGTATATTTAGCTATGTATTTTTGAAAGATTTTTAAAAATGAAACAGTATAGCTCACAATGCCATTTTAAAAAATTTACATGTTGACATATTGTACAGCTTTTGCTTTTTTTAAAAGACAGGTTTTGCTGCAATAAATTTTGAGTTTGAAAAGAATCTGACATACAATTCTAAAAACTGGACCCCAACTCTTATATAACTAGGTTTTGCTAATTCAAATATTTTTGTAACAAATAAAGGATAAAAGAAGCCATTTTAAGAGTTAAAAATGAGTGCTCTGTGAGCTGTGAAACACTTCCATTTCCATCTAGGTCATAAAAAGGGGAGTGGAGTTTAAATGCCTATTGCACTTTAATCTGGAGATTGTTACTTCATTTCATTATGCTGTTATCCTGTAAGAGTTCCCAAAGCCCTGTGAATCCTGTGTTAAAAAGAGAGTTGCAGGAAACATATGTCCGTGGCTACATGTTTGGCTGTGGGAACATATCAAGAGCCAACAGCTATTTTAAAAAAGCTATATCTGTCTTAAAATTATTTGTATTTCTTTTAGTAAATAATCCTCATATAATCATGACAGTTTACAACGAGCAGCAACCAAAAGGAGCTTCTAAAAACAAATCCTTTCCGGTAATGTTATCTTAATAGCTACAAATGCTTTCTGTGTTGGTTTTTTAAAAACTAATTTAAATCTAGTAAATTGTCCCCATTCTTCAGTGAGAGAGTATTTAATCCGAAAGGCTTTCTCTGATTACTATTGAGAACATCTACATATTTGGATATTGAAAACAACATCCTAGAAGAAAACAGCAGCAAATTGCTGTCTTTCTCCTGCTGAGAAAACTACATGGATAGTTTCCAGAAAGATTTTACCGTAACTGAACAGCCTGCAACAAAACCTTGGTTTAAAAACCTGTAATCATGTTTATAACCCAGTTAATCACATTGCTTGTAGTTTGTTTATTTTTTCCCAGTTTGTTCACTTTAATAATTGTGTTGGGTGTGTGTGTGTGTGTGTGCATACCCAAGCACTCTGCTCTGCACTTTCATTTTTATATGCCCATCTTTAAATATACAGTATGCACATGTACACATGCATAGATGTAGAATAGACATGGTTAGGTTATGGAACTAGGTGTCAATTCACTGAGATGCATCTGAGTGCCAGTTTGGTCTAGTTGTAAGGCGCCAGGCTAGAAACTAGGAGAATGTGAGTTCTAGTGCTGCCTTAGGCTTGAAAGCCGGCCGGGTGAATTTGGGTCAGTCACTCTTGCTCAGCCCAAATCATAGGCTTGTTGCTGTGGAGAAAATAGAAAGAGAAAGGAGTATTAAATATATTTGCAATCTTATTTATAAAAATAATAAAGGCCTGATAAAAATAAATAAATACCTTTCTAGTCATTTCAGGGGAAAATAATGAAAAATCAATGTGTCTTACTTTTAATAATTAGTAACTGCTAATTATCAATATTAATGACTTCAATCCAGACAAAAAGTATATGAAGAAAGTCAGGAGAATAGAAGCTGATTTTTCTATCCTCTTTTTGAGCAGAATCTGTTATTGTTTTAAAAATTGGACTGAGGCACAACCCAAGAATGAAAATTCACTTGCAGAAAATACTTCTGTCAGTTTTTTTGTAATATCCCTTTTTCTGGCCTATAAATCATAGCCTACTTGCTTTAGGAAAGTATCTTAATCCCTGAAAGAGACTTTTGGCAAGAGTTTGTTGGAGGATGGGATAGGAAGGTCATCTTACACTAACAACCATCCACTTCTCTAGATCCAAGGTATATTTTGCTTTTCATATAGCATTTGAAGAAATGTTAATACATTCCAGTTTGATTGTTTTCTTTGAGACAAGAAACATGAATGTGTGAGAATGCAGGATCTATATGGTGATTGGCTTTCTTTGGAACATAACTGAAATACCTTCAGATCTTCCTACAACAGCCTACATCTTACATTAACCCATGTCTCTCATTGTTGACAATTTAAGAACAGAGAGTAATGGACACTGGAATACAAAGGCCTTAAAGATTCACAAATCAAGATGCACCTTCAGGAGTAAAGTTGACAAGTGGTTTAAACCTGGATTTTTCCTGAGATGTATATATATATTTTCTTGTATAAACACTGGAATAAGCAACCACTAAATGATTGAATTTATATATTTTAAATTTTGTTAGGATTAACATTAAAATTGTTATAGATAGAAATTAACCTACTTGATCTTTGTGTCTTTTGTATGCCTATGTAGATAATTCAAAATATATCAGTTCATTCAAAGATATAGAAAAATATGGTTCTTTTTCAGATCCATGCAATGATGGAAGCCAACAACTGTGATTGAAAACATTTTTTTTTTAAAAAATAGGCTTGTTTTTCTTAAAAGTTTATTCTGCACATATTTAAGAACTTTAGTTGTTTTTCAGCAGTAGCTTCCACGTGTTCTTCAAAACCTATTCTTAATGGATTTCAATGATTTATTGATCTACATAGATTGAAACAAACAAGCAAAGAAAATACAGTTTCACAACTTTAAAAGATAATGGTCTGAGTTTTATATTGCAAATGAATCTTTGCAGCCTTCCCTGACCTGAGAGCTATCTAGGTATGCAGACTTTTAACTCTCAGAATTATTGGCAATAGTCACATTTGGTGGTGGGGGTAGTTTATTGGAATTGAAAGTTATGACAGGCTGAAGAGAGGTATATTATTGGGTTAATTAATGGATATGAATTTAGTGTCTTAAAAAGAAATGAAAACTATTGCTTCACTTTTTTATTTTAAAAACTATCTGAATAGAAGAAAACACCTGCTGGATCAAGCCGATATCCCATATAGCTCAACATTCTATGTTAATAGTGTCCAACCAGAGTCAGTAAAAAGGGAAGGAAACAGGAATAGGAAAACAATAGCTTTATATCACAGTTCAGCCTTCATCTATAAATAAAGGAGCACTTAATTGTTAGAGGAAATTATCATCAATAAAGAGCCAGTTTGGTCTAGTAGCAATAGCAATAGCAATAGCAGTTAGACTTATATACCGCTTCATAGGGCTTTCAGCCCTCTCTAAGCGGTTTACAGAGTCAGCATATTG